AAAGAAATAAGAAAAAAAAATGACTCCAACAAAAACTCTCGAAAAGAAAAAAAATGGGATGCTTAATAAATGGGATGCTTTGTGTTGTTTTGCCGCTAGTAAAAAAATTGGCATAAAAAAAGAGACTCTTCTTGCAAAGAACCTTTCGTATAACAACAAGTAACTTTATAATTTAATTTAGTGAAATATTTAAATTTTTTCAACATATGTGCTAGCTACTCCCTCATGTTTTTGTTACTATATATAGTTGGCTACTATACATGTTGGACCCTACTTTACGTGCTTTATAAAGCACGTAAAGAAGGGTCCAACATGATTGCATAGGATCTCTGTATTCCTTTCTAAGGTTCTAATAGTTTTCACATGGTTCTTCCCTCTTTAAAATGTATTGTTTATGGGTGAAAAATATCAAAAGTTTCTTTTGCTCAAGTTAGGGAGGCCCCAAAATCCTATTATGCTTCCCCTATTTTCAGAGGTTAATCGGGCCCTGATTATACGGGGATCGTGCTACTACATAATTTAAAGTACCCTCTCCCGGCAAGCTAAACAAAAGATTTAAGGGGCCATAGCGACGACCCTTCTAATCGATCTATAAAAATATGCTTTGGAGGCGTGTTTAAGCATGCAGAGGACCACCTTCGGTTCGAGTTTCAAGATTATTACTTAATATTAAAGGGAGTTAAGCGGTCTTGAAATTTGAAACTTTCTCTCGCCATTTTATTTTATTTTTATTCCATTATGCGTTCTTTCACAAAGAAAGACAATTGAAATTATACATAGAGCATCTTTCGTATGCTAAACTATGGTGAAAATATTGTAAAACGAATTTAAAAAAATAATATAATATAAATAAAATAATTTTCCGGGATTTTTCAAGTTTTTAAGTATTATTTGAAATTTTCCTAACAAAAAAAAATTTTTTTATTCATAGGATCCTTAATTTATCGAAAAGATGTAAAAAAATTACGCACAAATAAAACTTTGGAGCCTATTCACAAAATAATAATTGTTTTCCCAAACACAGGTTCTTCATTCTCTAAGCTTGAAACTATACACATTCCTTGTTTGTAAGCTGTTCTTGAAACTAGTACTTTTTAAGTGTGAAAAAACTGTTTATAACTTTCTGGAATTCTGGAAATTTCGGCAAAATAAGTATTTTGATCAATAAGTTCGGCGCTGGTTATAGCGATATTTTTTCCTAAGTCTCCTTCTTGATTAAAAGGATTGAAGTCGTTGGTGCCTTTGCGCTAATGAAAGAAGATTAAAAATATTATAATTTATGCAAATAAAATGTACAGAAGAAGCAAAATTTGAACCCTTATTTTTTAAAACATAGAAGGATCAATCAAAGCAAGTGATATTTTAATTACTGTCATGTCATGTCAAAACCATGTAACTCCCTTTAAATTTCTTTTTTTTTTCGTTTTTATTTTATTTTATATTACATTTTTAATGTGTTTTTCGATATTTGAAAGTGTCCTATGCATAAAAAATGCTTTTTTCCTCCGGGAAATAGCGTATAAATGATTAAAAAAAAGGAAAAATTCTGGATAATTTATTTATTTTTATTTTATTTTATGTTATTTTTTTAACTTCTTTTTCAATATTTTCGTTCATTTAGCGTGAATAAGGTGTTCTATACATAAAAACAGTACTTTCATTCACAAAAGAGGTTTTTGTGCATAATAAAATGCTCAACAACTTTTCATACTTGGAAAAACTTTCTTCATGCAGCGTAAATGTGTATAAAAAGGAAATGTGCATAAAAAAATATGTAGAAATGAGTGCTATGAGTTTAAAAAAAGAAACTTTCTCACTGAAATTTTTTTTAATTATTTTTTTGTGGGGAGGGAGGTTACAGACCATATCAACCTTCATCTATGAAAAGATACCCCATTATAGAATCGAGTTAACATGTCTAGGGGACAGACTAGTGAATTGGAATTGTAGTTTTGTAGTGGTAGATACACTACAGTTTTAATAAACCCTCTCTTGTTTAGACTAAGGAAAACCTTGTTAATGTATATTATGAGAGCCGGGATGGCTCAGGGGATAGACAGTTCGCCTTCCAAAGAGGTGGACTGGGTTCGAATCCCTGCAATGGCTGATCGATACGAATTAAGCATACGGCTTGCTCCAAATACAGTGCTGACGTTAAATATTCTCAGTGGTAGACTGGTCATGGCATAGAGTTCCTTGCCGTGAGGCTTATCGTGGGAGGTTTTCGCATTTTTCCTCTCCATGTAACACAAACGCGTGTTAGTTCCATCTAAAAGTCTTCCACAAAGGCATATTTCTCCCAAAACTTGATCCAAGTGTATCCTTGTTTTCCGAATTGAGTTCAAAATTACGAGACTACGGAGTTGTAGTTGTAAACCCAAAAAAGTGGGTCTGCTGTTCAACGACGGTTATGAAAAAAAGTAAAATGTGTATTTGTATATTATAAACGGCGATGAACAGCTGTCCCAATTCTGAGTTAATAGCAATCAATGTTTGATTCCGTAGCCTTGTAATTTTGATCCCAACCCAGAAGACAAGGAAACTCCTGGATCATGCATTGGGAGAAACTAGCCTTCGTGGAGGATGTTTTGATGGAACTAACCCACATTTTAGTTGCCTGAACAGGAAAACCTGATATGGTTAGCACTTCGGCGAGGGGATTATAACCCACGTTCCGTCAACCACTGAGGATATATTAGGTCCGAACTGTGATCGTTCCTAGAAAAATTGGTATCAACCAGCCGCTGCTGGGATTTGAACCTGGGCCACCGCATTGGGAAGTGAACTCTCTATCCGCTGAGCCAGTGCGGCTCCTTATTGATGTATTTTATAATGAGAAAGAACTTTTTTATTTCAAGCACTCAATTACGCCTCTACGATGCATTTCATTTTTTATTACATAACTGTCGTTGAACAGCCGGGGCAATTTATTTCAGTTTAAGATTACTGTTCAGATAATGTTCAACTTCATAGCTTTGTAATTTTGAACCCAAGTCAGAAGACAAAGGAACTCCTGGATCAATTACGGAAAGAAATTTGCCCAGTGAGGAACTTTTTGGTGGAACTAACCCTAATTTGCGCCACATGGAGAGGAAAAATATGAAAATCCCCCATGGTTAGCCTGATGGCAAAAAGATTCTATCCCATGATCCGTCTACTACTGAGGATATTTCACGTCAGCACTGTGGTCAGTGTGCGGCGGCTTCGGTCACCAGCACTGCGACGGCCACCAGCCATCGCTGAGAGTCGAACCCGGTTCAACTCATTAGAAGGCAATCGCTCTATTCCCTGAGCCACCAATTACTGGTGTATCGTATGTAATAAATCCTTTAAATGGAAATATGATTTAAATGGTTCTTCTCTTCTTCATACTCAAGTTAAGTCAATCTTTAGATAACGGCCTCTATCATTGAAATATCAAAATGAAAAAACTCCACTAACGAGAAAGTTTTTTTGTAATACTGATGAAGCAGGTAGTAAATTAAAAAGCTAGAACTAAAGGAAATACTTCGAAAGAAATTTGAACACGTTATACTTAATTCAATAACAAGGTTATTCAATAACAAATAATTGGGAAAAACACTTAATGTCGAAAAAAAATCGTGACCTACATAAAATCATCTCTTTTAATAAAATATATTACGTTTTCAACTACACGATTTAAATGCGTAATAAAGTATTTCGTTGTCGTATCTAGTTCTGGTTGACGAAGGTCTGGGAAACATCCCTGAGGATGATCCGATGACATGCCATCACAATTTTGATCCTCTGCAGAGGGGATGGCACCCCCGCTTCGGTAGCCCAACAACCTTCACGCGAAGTCGAGCACTTCAGAACAGCAGAACGGTAGAACATTTTAACGAGGACCAATACCGCACACCCTCGGTCCCTACGCAGACTGATCCAAGTGGTCACCCACCCGCACGCTGACCGTAGCCAGTGATGCTTGACTTCGGTGATCTGCTGGGAGCCGTTAACAAAACGGCTGGCATTCAAGACAGTGCGAGGCGAAAAAGGCAATTTTTCTGGCTGATTCTAAATTTGCTGACGTTGCCAATAGCCCATTGTGCAGCTCTAGTGCGACGTAAATGAACAACAACAACAACAACTAAATTTGCTGACTTGTCTGGATAACAAGAAATAAGCAGCCAGAGACGTGGGGTAAATTGTTTTGGAAGAAATAAGCAGCCCGAGACGTGGAGCATTTAGTTATGTTTTGACCTGAGAAGTTCTTAATAAATCTGTCTTAGGTCTATCTGTCTCATTAAAAAAAAAAATTTTAAGTGCTGTTTATAGTAAAGTATATATTTCAAAATGCGCCTATTTTCGTAAGTGAAGATTAAGTACATGAAATTATTTGTCTTTCCCTTAACTAAAAATTCTTTTACTGTTTTTTATTTCACACATGAGAACTTCATTTTATCTTTTTAGTTCATTGTTAAAAGTTGGAATCAGCGGTGGAGCTCTATATTTTGCTGTTGACCAAGATTTATTAAGTATTAATCAGAAAGAATCAATAGATGCTTCAAAAAAGGTTATAGGCGCTTTACCAGGCCTCGAAGACTATTCAAAAAAAGTAAGACCTTAGGTTTATAACTTTAGCAAAGTCAATTCTTACTTTGATTGTTTGAATATATGAGTTTTCTTCTATGTGAGTTAGAAGAAGTATCAATAATTGAAAACAATTTTGTGAAACGAAGACTATTTTAATAAATTAATTGTTGAATAAATTGTGTTCATATTTTGGGAAAGGAGTTATCGACTATGGCAACCTTCATCTATCAAAAGGTTCATCGAGATAGGATCGAGTTAACATGTCTTATAAACTAGTGATTTGGTATTTAATATTTGTAGTGGTAGTTATGCCACACATATGATTCCTCATAGGTTAAAATTGGATTTGTTTTCTGTATAGGGGGATAATATTAAGCTATTGAATATTATCATTTTTAATAAAGTAGACATTTAAATGCCTTGAATAAATCGAAAATAATATGTTTTTTTAGGTTAGCTGTGTGCAAAGAAATTAAAAAAAATTTATGTGTTTACAAAATAACAAACTATAAAAAAAGTTTTTGCGGAACTGAATTTTTGGCCGTAATATGTTAAGTAATATCATAAATATGTTACTTGTTTCGATTTTTTTTTTTTGCAATTATTGTTAGTGATTACTATTGATATTTGGCAATTATTGATATTGATCATGTAATTTTCAGAAATAAATATTGGCACATTAGATTATTTACTTTTTAATGCTAATTCTGTGATTTTTCTATCAATTTTTGGCAAATGATTTCCAAATATCATATGATTTATTTAGAGATTCAAATCTTAAAACATGTATTTGAGTAACCTTTTTTTAACCAGTCTGATGAGCATGATTTTGTTGTAGATCTTTTTTTTTTCAATAGTTACTGCCACAAATTCAACTGGCAAATTGTCATGAAAGAAAGATAGGTTTTTTTTTCGCTTTAAAATTGTGAGAATATCATCCATAATTGGAGAAAACAATTCTTACAGTTAGAATTGAAGAAAGTTATATGGAGTTGTATTTTTTAGCTGTAAACTTTTTAAAAATAAAAATACAAAGCATTTCTGTTATTACAAATGATTAATATATATGTATTACTTTTAAAAGTATCTTGCAAAAAAATGTTAATAATGATAGGTTTGTGGTAGAAAGACAAAAAGAAACTTTGCATCAGGGGTTTGTTTGACTTAACTGAATCAGTTGAGCGCTAAAATGAATTCTTGAAGAACAGGTTGTCTGCACAGGGCACCACATTCCTAAAAAACACCATGACAGTTATATTAACATTACTAATTATTAAAATTTTGACAATCTTTTTAATATTGAAACTTTTTAAGATTTTTTTTTTTAATTTGATAGACGATAATCTAGACTACCTGAAGACTATAATCTTCATATTTCAAGGGACCCTGCACTATGAAACTTTTCATATGAATCAATATCACCAAATAAGAAATATAAAATATATGTAAAATCTTAGCGAAAATTTAGCGTTGCACTTGATGGCAATCAATATAAGGTTACTTGCATCCTATAAGAAAAATCTTACTAAGGTTTGAAAAAGCAGAGTTTGTAGGTGTTCGTGGTAAAAAAATATTTTGCCTTGATTATTTGCTATTAGTCCTGACGCCTGCTTACTATTCCTGATTTTTTNTTTTTTTTTTTTTTTTTTTTTTTTTTTTTTTTTTTTTTAGTTCTCAGAACATCTTATTTTTCATGAAGACAAGTATATAATAATACTAAGATGAAGACTAATTTATAATGCAAAATTCAAGCATTCTAACTTAAGGATCTAATCATATACATGGTGCAAACAGCTTCATACTTTTCGTGAGCCATTTTATAAAAAAGAAACCATGAGTGCATGTAGGAATGGAGTAGAGTCCATCTCTTTCATCTGATTTGAATCAACAATCATATTATAGAAGAGGTGAATTGTTGGATCACCCACTAAATATTTACTTTTGTACAAAGATGTTAAATAGTATATTGACTATATATTCATTTTGAATCCCTATTTAAAATTTAAGGAAATTCAGAGCTAAGTATAAGTTTTAATCAAATATTGATAAAATTGAATCTCCTGTTTTTTTACAAAAAGTCCTTGTTTACCCGGATGCTCTCAAATTTCTCCGTATTTGTTGAAGAAATGCTTTAAAAATATTTTGGCAATAAAATATTTGCTAAGGGCAAAAATACTTCTCTTATTCCTAAGCAGATGGTGCTATTGCTAGTACTGCAGTGTGTTGAAACTTTAAGTAATTATAAATAATGGTTTAACAAAAATCCTCTTTAGATTGAGATTTATATATATATTTTTTACTTCACGCTAAATGTAAGTGCTTATATTATTTCCAATTTTGACTTACATGATGTATCAAAACTTAACACATAGGCCGAAAAATGTCACTAATGAAATCTCCATTATTTTATTTCTCCAATGTTGGCAAATATGATTGAATTATTATTTAGTAAAATCATAACAATGCATTTGATTTCCTTTTTAAATTGTATTTGCTTGAAGATTCAGAAATGTATTTGCAGCTTTTAATTAAAATCTGGCTTAAAAGATAGTGTTTTAAAATTCCCAATGTATGCAATTTTCATTATCGTTCAGTTTCTTGCAAAAAATCCGTAGTACTTCTTAAATAATGAAAAAATAAATTTGCATTAAAATTTAACTTAGTTCTTTATTTGTGTTTCGTATAATTTGAAAGAATTTTATGTCGTCGTTTTACGAGAGCTGTAATTTTTTACAAACCAAATAACATTGCTAATTGAAACTGATTAATACGGGCAACAATTTTGGTTTAAAATCATGCAAATCAGAATCACATTGAACGAAATTTTGTAAAATGTTTGAATGAATGATTTAGATTTCTCTTAAAAATATCAGTTGGTTTAAATCTACTTACCGTTTTTATGGAGTCCACTTTTTTTTTTTTTTTGTCTCGCTAAAGCCTAACCCTTAAACTGTTATGCATAAAAATTTCAAAAATAATCCAAAATTTTGAAATGAAATTTTAAAAACGAAATGGTAGGGGCCCTGTACTAATGAATTTGTAATTGTGATTTTTGAGAAATCATAGCTTCATTAAAAAATAATATATTTTAAAAGAAAACAGGACTGATTGTGCTTCGGAAAAAATCCGGATTTTTCGCTAACCGTGGTCGGGAAGTTTCCGGAGATCGAAGGTTCAGACGTTTAAAAAAATCGTTGATCACACAGGTTTCCGGAAATAAAATTTTCAAAGGTGGAACTTAAAATCACAGTTTATTTTATTTGTATGTAAGGGAGAGCCAGATAAGCTTATATTCAAGATTAATATTCATTTTTTATCAGTAAATAATTATTATAATCATAAACTCAAGAAAGACATATTTGTAAATTTCAATTACTTCTCCAGGTCATAATTAGTATGTGTAAATGGTATAGGTAGGTGTAAAATTTTAAATATATTTTAAGTAAACTAAGAAATATTGAGAAAAAGGAGAAAACCTTGTTTAAATTTTTTTCTAATTTTTTAATTTAAACTTTCCATTTTTTTACTCAAGAAATTTTCTGGAATTTTGACTTGGGCTCACAATCACCCCTGAAGAAAAGTTAAGCAAATTTTATGCAATAATTTATATCTTATCACTAGGCAAAATGTATACTTGACACTGGTACTTATTTATAAAAAATTAATTTTTGATACTGAGATATTTTTTTTAAAGTGCATGGAAATACTTCAATTTAAAGGAGGTATAGACCCCCTGCCACCATTCTTATATAAAACAAATGAAATATTATAATTGAAAATTAAAATTCTCAATTATTGTCGTTTTACACTTAAGTTTCTAACTGCAGTGAAAGTAAAAGCAGCTATTAGATAAAACAAGTGTGACATAAATATCCACATATATCTATTTTAGTTACAGTGTAGAAAGTGCCATCTGACAAAATCATCCTTTTTTCAATTGTGTCATTTTCCAAAATTATTTTTATCACCAAGCTTCCTTTTTTCATGTGACATTTTTCTGTGATTGATTTAATATTTTTATTCCTGATATAAGATTGTTATTAATCAAAATTTATTCTATATTCATAGGTTGAAATTGGAATAACAAAGAATGATGTCATCAATTATTGGAATTCAGGTATTGTAACCCGTTTTGATAGACATTTCATAGAATAAATAATTTGTTGAGTCTTCTAATGTGTTAATTTGTAAATGTATTTTTTCATATAATTTGTATGCTATGTATGAATCAAATATTACAATAGAATATTTCTAGATAACTATCTCTACTTATAAAGGTGATAATTTTAGGATTCAATATTTACTGTCAAGGCTTCGTTTAAATTATTAATAGATTTGGAATTGTCTTGAATATTCTCAGCACTGGTGTGTAAGAAGGTTTTGGTTGTTCATTTTTAAAGGACCATTATTTTCAATAATTAGTTTAAAGAATGGCCTCTTATTTTTTAGCTATTTTTTTTTTCTTCTTTCCTCTTAAACTGTTTATTTTATATTCTTAAGAACTAACTTTTGTGTTTTACAATTAAATTTAAAGATGTTTATCTATTTTATGTTTTGAAAATTAAATATTATGAAGTATATTTTGCCAAGTTTTAATATTAGTATCAAAAGTGCTACAGTATTTTGTTTGATTCAAGTTATAAATTATCTTTTTATTTGTTATAGTTTTTGGCAAAAATCTATATTAACACGGTAACATGCAATAAAATTAAATACATTATCAACCTGTCATTAATTTGATTTTGCTTCAGTCTGTTGAAATAAGTTAAAAAATTTTATCATTTTCTTTAAAGTGATTAATAGTCGTGAAAATGAATAAAGAAATCTGTCTATCTGAATACAATATCCAGAACAGCTCTCTAAACTTTTTGCACATTGGGACTTTTGAAAATCAGAAAAATCCACATTGCACCCAAAGTTAAAGGCTTTAAAAAATCATATCTCATCTCTTCATTACACATAGTTAAGAACAAATTATTAACATAAATAATTACTTACTTCAGATTAAGGTAAACTTAAAACAATTATTGGTGTTAATTTACCCTAATTTAAACTACTGGGACTCTATAGAGTTGGCAAATGTTTGTGCAATAAATATTTGATCACTTAAATAATTTCTTATTCAAGTGCATAAATTTTAATCTTTTAATAACATTCATCATAAAGAAGAATCATTTTACAATTCAGATCATTTAAAAGTTAATTCTCTTTAAGAATTCCTAATTATGTATGAGGCAACTTATCGTCGAAATTAGGGATCTGCAAGACTGCCTTTGGCCTGCTGAATAACTGTCTCATTCACTTCAAAATTATAGTTTAATAAAATGATTGTCATTTCAGATAATAACGTACTGATGATGCAATATTCATTGCTTGTGAAATAATATTGACACATTAGTCTGTTTTATTAAGAGCAAAATACTTGACATAATAAATTTGGTCAGGAAACTCAAAAACAAGAACAACTTTGAAATGTGGGCAATTTGAATGATACATTGGAAAATGAACCTTGATAAGAATACTGTAATTAACACTAAATTTACCAACACTTATCGTATACCTGTTTCTACCAAAGCCAGTCAAATAACCGGACTTTATTTTTCTTGATTGAATGTGTGAAATATGGATGTTGGGAAGGAAATAAACTAATAAAACTTTATTATAATTAAACAACATTGTATATTGCCAATTTTTATGTATTACAAACACAAAGAATAAAATTTTTTAATTCATTGCTCGACGTTTTTTTTTTACATATACAATCCATTGTACATTTTCCGCAAACATATTCCTCCTAGTTATTATTTCTATCATTTTTATAATTATATGAATTACAATTCTTATAATTAATATTTCTTCTAAGAACTTGTGCTGTCTCTTGTTTCGACATTTTTCTGGGTGAAAACTAACAGTTAATTGGAAATGAAGTAAAGCTATCAAAATAAGCTACTGACCAAAACATTTAGTTTTTGTCACTTTTTCTGACACAGAAATGTCATTCTAAAGTTTTGGGTACTAAATTTGAATTCACAGTTATTCTGATTAAACTCATTACGCAACAGTCTTTGCAGAAACGTGCAACTCATCGAATGCAATACGTTGAACACGCATTACATTGTCATTTCTGATCCGATAACCTTATAAAGCAACACATTGTTCTCGAGGTCAAATAACCGGATGTGGTAGAAATAGGTATACGACGCGCATTATTCTAAACAAACAAAATACGCAAAAGGAAAATATAATAATAACAATACAATATTTACTGTATATAATTGTTAGAAAAAGTCATGAAGTCAAATGTGCAAAAACGATAAGCGCATTTTCGATGCTTCTAAACAGTCATTTGACCGGTTATGGTATGTTTCGTTTTAAGCAGAAAAATTTATAAATTAAGTGTAATGAAAGTGAAAGGATTCCATCTGATTAAGTNAATAATAGAATATTAACTGCATATAATTGTTAGAAAAAGTCATGAAGTCAAATGTGCAAAAACGATAAGATGACAAAAGTGCATTTTCAATGCAAAAACTTCTAAACAGTCATTTGACCGGTTATGGTATGTTTCGTTTTAAGCAAAAAAATTTATAAATTAAGTGTAATGAAAGTGAAAGGATTCCATCTGATTAAGTCAATAGCAACTTTTACTGCTGATGAAGAGAATTGTTGTTTAAAAAAAAAAGGTACATGTTAAGTATCTATGAGGGATATGTATAGATAGATTGCATAGTTATTGTCAATATTAAGTATCTATGAGGGATATGCATAGTTATTGTCAATATGCTACTATTGCCACTTCATTTGTTAATTTAAAAGATCACATAATCCAAATAAGTAAAATCAATTTTTTTTGTTTTGTTTTTATCTCTGATAGTGTTTTTTTCTTATGCTGACAGACGAAACTGGAAGTAAACTCCTGAAAAAGAAATTAAAATACTTTTTGTTATGCTTTGATTATTTTAAACATTTTTTATTTGAATAAATTTTATAAATGAAATTAGTTTTAAATTTTTTTTTCTCTCAGAATTGACAATTACAACATCTTTTAATTTTTTTTCATTTTCAATCCTTACTTACTGGAAATTCCCTTCTAAAATTGAAAATCTGATTTTTTCTTCCACCAAATGTTTTTTTTAGTGATTAAACATTTAAATTGCCCAAAAAGCTTCCATAAGTGACGCAATCATAAACGATCCTCGATTGGTTATGACGTCACGTGCTGAATAGAAATGTGCCTCCTCCATCCACTAAGAGTATTTCAACGCTCTTTTAGTTTTGATATCACTTTTATTGTATGAACATCATTTGTATCCCATTATTGGTAAAGAAAATTTGTGAATTAAATGTACAGTTTTGGAGAGTGTGTGCAAAATGAACGAAATATTTTAAAACTTCAAACTGTTTGTTTATCACTAAAAATATCTGAAGAAATGATTATGCAACTCTTCACAGCGAATCAATATTTCTTTTCGGCTGAAATCAGTGGTGTTATTTTATTCTACTCATTTTTAAGTTAAAATCATGCTCCTACATTACAGCCTAAATTAAATTCAGTTGTGGATTAGATATACATTTCAATATAGGATGGATAATTTTAATGTTCGTTATTGCATCAGTATTTTCATATATCTAGTTTATTGAAAAATATGAATCCATAATCATTACAATCTTTGTGCTAATGTTCAAGAATTCAAATAATGTAATTTAATTTTGCTTCTTTTTTTTATTTATTTATTTTACTGCAGTTAAAGGATTTTCTTTAAATAAATATTTACTAATGCTGTTTTTATATTTTTTTTTACTGTGTATTAAATATTTAAATACACATTAACGCTTATATTTATTGTCCTTTGAGTAAATAAGAATATCGCTACAGTTAGAAATTATTTTTATTTATGATTTTTAATTCCTGTTTCAGCAATATAGTATTTACAAAGTATGGTTATTGTTCATTTCTCTTCTTATATTTGCAGACTTCTTATTTGTCAGTGCTTGCAATGACAAATTCTAAAACAGTAAAATTAATACATTTATTACATTTGAATTAATATTTAATTAAAATAGTTGAAAAAGTCTCAGGTTTAATGGGTATCACCAGAGAGAAATAAACACTTTCAAGAATGCAGTCCATTGAAATATATCTGTCCTTTATCTACTGAAACTTAAAATTTCACTTTATCCTCATAATTTCAGCGAATATCATTAAGCTGGAAGTTTTTGTTTCATTTTAAAGCTAAAGAATAATAATAAAAAAATAAACTTATACAAAATGAATTTTATACAAAAAATAAACAGTAATGTAGATATTTTTTTCAATATTTTTATTCTTTGTGTAAATAGGAACCTTGCTACGGTGAAAAATTATTTTGATATGCATTCATAAAATTTAATTCCTGTTTCTGGAATGTAAAACTAAATAAATGCATATGCTTGATTTCAAATACTCTTATAACTTATGTTAACACAATAAAATAAAGTTAATAAAATCTACTAGAATATATTAAAAAAAAATTTGTTTTAAAATTAAAAAATGTTTTTTGAAAGAATGAGTTTTAAGTTTTGTTGGGATCACAATTTTTTAAATTCAAGTCAGAATAAGTAAATAAAAAATATCAATAATTTATGCTTTTGTACATTTTAAAGTCTAAAACTATTCTATATAAAAACATAGATTCAACATATCTTTCACTTAACATGAAAATAAATCTATGAAATGAATATGAAAAATACTTTAAAAATAATGGAAGAAGAAATTTTTTTGTATTTATAATGCAGTATTATAATATATATTTTTTTAACTCATTCCAACACCTTTTTTACTGAACTAAAAAAATCTTAAATAATTTAGAACTTGAAACAACTATTAACAATGTTTCAGTGGGTACCATTGAATTTTACCATTATAAAAATGTGTTATACAGTGAACTCTCGCTACTGCAATATCCAATACAACAATAACTCCCTCTATTACTGTCAAAAAACTTTAATATGAATTAATGTTATTCTACTCTCAATATTAAAATATTCTCTTAAGCAATAAACCCCTGTAAAATGATTTTTTTTTTCTCCAAATTTATACCTTATTTTCACCATTTATTAAAAATTTTCAAATAATATAAAAAATCTTTTATCTTTTGTCATTTTTTTTTGACAAGAAAAAACTCACTGTTAACCACCCCAAGAGTTTTCATTCTTAGAATTGGCCTCCCCTTATCTCTTAAGAAGTCACAGATGTAACATTCCTATCTGATTTCATATCCTTCATGTTGAAAGCTGATCATGAGTCACAAATGACCACACGCATCACATTAACACATGAAAGAGAACTTTTTCAGTAGAGGGTGGGTGGCGCACCATTCACAAATGAAAATCGTTTTCGTACTTTGAACTCAATGCTTACTTTGTGGGTTGACTTGACAGTCAGAAGAATGAATAAACAAACAAAAATATTGGATTATTTTCAATAAAAATGGTTTTTAGGTATATTTGCGATCTTAGTTTATTTAAATTGTTTTTAATATTTAACCTATCTAAAAGTCTTATTGTGTCCCCTAAGTATGTAGGCCCTCGCTATATCCCTCGACAACACTATATTTATTGGGTACCAAAAATAGTGTTGTAGCTGGATTTTACTGTATTGAACCCACATTTTCGTTAAGCTACATGAGGACATAATTTATTATACAGATAGTTATTGATTATCTGAAATAGTTGAGTTTAATTTCAAAAATTAAAACGAAAGCAAGAACTTTCACAGCACAGGGATTGAAAATGAACGACAGACGGACACGTGTGATGTCGGTTCACAAATAACCAATCGAGTGACTCCCCTTTTCAGGTGAAAACAAAAGTAAGCGTTTTTTACGTGATACGAAAATTTTTTAGTTTTTTAACTGAAATTATTTCAAAAATAAAATAAAAATTTTAATGAAGCCTTTTTAAAAAAATTCGTCAAAACCAGTTGAATAGCTTAAGCGTGAAATGATATTCATACCTTTAGCGTACATTTTTTTTAACCGTTAGTATCTCAATCTAATCATACGAGGCACATCCAGAAAGTAAGTTTCCTGAATTTTTTAACAGAAAAAGAACTCACTTTCAGGATCACATTTGCATTAAGTACAGCAATGTTTCAGCTATTTTTCAACATAGCCACCACCAGAATTGAGGCACTTGTCGTATCGTGGAATCAACTTTTGTATCCCTCTGTCGTAGAACTCTGCCGTCTGTGAATGAAACCATCGTGTGACAGACGTCTATCTACCGTTACTGTGAAACATTGGGGAAATTATGACTTGCCATTCCGAACAAGAGTCTTGGAATGTTTACTGCAGGTGTTGCGCTCCTCCATGACAATGTTTGTTAACATACAGCATGACGCACAGCAGCTGTTTTGACAGAATTTGACTGGGAGTTGTTTGATCATCCACCCTACAGCCCTGATATTACTCCCAGAGATTTTCTCGTTTTCTTGCACCTCAAGAAATTCCTGTCCTCCGGAGAGCGTTTCAGCAACGATAAAGAGCTAAATACCTCTGTCACACGTTGGTTCCATTCACAGACGGCAGAGTTCTACGACAGAGGGATACAAAAGTTTATTCCACGATACAACAAGTGCCTCAATTCTGGTGGTGGCTATGTTGAAAAATAGCTGAAACATCGCTGTACTTGTTGCCAATAAATATGTTCCTGAAAGTGTGAGTTCTTTTTTTTTTCTTATAAATTAGGGAAACTTACTTTCTGGATGCGCCTCGTATGTTTTAGAGAATTTTATTTAAATAGTCCGTTGATAAATATGAAGCAAAGAGACCCATATTCTTTGCATGAATGAAATGTAATTGAAACATATTTATTTATCTAGGTATCAAAACTGCTATATCTGCATTGGCTAGTTTACCTGCAAACAGCAAGGAAGCATTTCACGTAGGAATGAATTATGTGACAGATGAAATTAAGAACCAAATGAAGAAGAGTTCTTGAAAATATTTATTTAATATCTATGTTTGTTTCACACAGTGAAGTATCTGTTGTGAACTTCTTAATAATAGTTGTTAGAAATATTTATTCTATTTAGTTATTCAAAATAAAGGGATTTGTTCTTGATTTTTAATCATATTGAAAGCCTTTTTTTATGTATACTACCTCTTTTAAAACAATTTTTCCTTCATATTTAACTTACCTATAGTCTATTATGCATTACTATTACTTTGTCTTTTGTGTTTAATTGTAACTTATTCTGGTTAAACTATAACCTGAATTTACTTAAACTCAAGTTTGGCACTCTATTTACGATGTTAGGTTTCACCGATATTTGCCATGGTTTTTACCGTCCTAAGAAAAACCTGTTTTTCTGATGGTTTTTGCAGCCTATAAATTTTTTTTCTTCACATCTTCAGAAAAATTTCTTATTGTTTCTGATATTATATGTGAACATCTTAAAAGCATGCATTAAGGTAGTACTGGAATTTGGAGCATTGATAAAATAGTCCCATGCTAAACATGGCAGGACATATGATTATTTGAAGAACTAATGTTGTAAAAATATTTGCCATGAGCAGCATTTTTTTGCTGTTCGTACTAAAAAATATTTTGTCTTTTTTTTCTGTTGTAGAGCACTATTATAATACTCAATATGACATTGTGAGATCCTATGCAAAATGCTAATATATTAAATGTACAAAAACTGTACATTTGTAACAAGTCAAAAATGACTAGCAACAATTTTTGTAATGTTTTAGTGTGCACTCACAAGAGATATAATTTCTGGTATCAATATAGAAAAATTCGAACATTTCATTTTGCAATCCAAAATGTTTATTTTACAGCCATTGTAGTCTTAGTTCTCTGCTATTTTTGGAAATTCTGCTGCAATTTTCAAAAGAATGCACCGATAGTTTTTAAAACAAGAGACAACACTTCCAAACACCAATTTTTTTCCTATGTAAATTCATCAACCATCGTCTATACAATCACACAGTGTTCAGTCCCACAAACCAACAATAAAACTCCCCAACCAAACTTCCAATTACAGCAGATTTTATTTTTGCAGAAGGCCGAGTAAAAACGTGCATTCTGCATCTCGGGATAATAAATAGTTGCAATACCCGATTTAACTCTGGGATAATCAGGAAAGGGGTTAAATATGTTGAAACTATATTAAGTTACATTATTTATTTGTTTAAGTCTTATCAAGTTTAATAATCAAAAAAAAAAATAATTACGTTTGGTGACTACAAAAATTCAAATAGAATGGGAACTAATAAATAGAATAATTCTGAAATAAAACTTTAGTTTATTAGTTTTGATAAAAATGTTTCCTTTTGCAGACTATAAATTATATCTTTTCAAATGGTTTTGTAAATTATAATTTAATGTGTTTTTCTTCCTGCTCAATTTTTTTAAAGAATGTTATGCACTGAAATTGGCTTGATTTTATCATTTTTTCCCCTTTCTTCTTTTGTTTTATTTTCTCCTGATTTGAACCACTACAAGGCTAGTTTTCGTCATTTATAAATTATTTTTACGTTTGGCCAAAATGAAATATTTGTTGTCTGGTGTGGGGACTTGAAAAAGAAAACATTTTTATCTTAATGTATTGATATTCATTTTTGTTGTTCTTCTGATTCTTGAAAACACAAAAAAAAAAATTTATACTTTTAATTCATTTGAACAAATGATTATTTAGAATAATTTTGATCTTAAAAATGAACATACAAAGTAAAATAATTTTTTCTGCTCATCAAATTTTATAAAAATAAAGTAATTGGTGAAATAAATCCTTATTTTACAATACTTTTATCACTAAAGAATATTTTTTAATGTTTCAATTATTTTGTAAAAAAAAATATATACATATATATTATCTAATTATTCAAATAAAATTCTGTTTATTTTGGAAAAAGGGATTATTTGAGCTTTCCAGTTATTTTCTGTGTATAAATGCAGCTGTTGAAAAATTATGATATTCAATGCTATAATACAATAATGGAAGTGATGAATTTGGGTTGTCAACAAATCTAATTTTTAAAAAGAAATTTTAAATGTAATGCACCCCTCCCCCCCAATTTCACGGTGTTCCGAATATCTGAATTTGTAACAAAATCCCCACTCGCAGTCATATTTTCTTAAAATATAAAAGGTTTTTATCATGTTCTTTAAAAATTATGTTCTTTCAAAAAATGAAAGAAAAACATAATTTCTAGAGTGAAATTATGTTTTAAACTTCTTTGATCGCAGAATGTTTGTTTTTATTTTATCAATTTAAAATTCTAGCTGAAGCAAGCCAGTCATTGGCGAATTTTTTTTATTCCGAAATGAGAACAGAAAAATCGGGAGTATTTCTTTCCGATGAACATGAAAAGTATCTTTAGAATATAATTCTGCTGAAGAAAAAAATTTTTATTTGCTTTTGTATTTTTTCCCCAGCTGTTTTATTGCTTCAACTCATTCTTTCCTCTGTTTTTAAAATCAATAAATATGAAGATGCAGAGAGTATAACAGTTTTGGTTATACCTATCATTTCAATGAATGTTATTATAATGCTTTTTTAAATTTATTGTTGTTCTAATCGTGTGATTCGGATCGATGATTCAAATCGTGGTTCAGATCAGTGATTTGAATCATGCCATTTGGATCAACGATTCGAATCATGCGATTCAGATCACTATTCGAATAAAGTGATTCTGATCAATTATTCAAATCACACAGATTTGAATTCAGATCAGTGACTCTAAGTAATTCAGATCTCTGATGTGAATGACTTAATTGCGAATCACGTGATTCAAATCGAATGCTTCAAAAAAAAAGATTGCAATTAGAAAAAAGTTTATTTACCTATCACTATTTTTCTTTTAACTAATTTCGATAAAAAAAAATTATTATTTCTTATTAGTGAATTCTTTCAACGAAATAAATATTTTTTTTGTATAATTATATTGTATATGTTGCTAATTTTTTACTGTTCGTGATTGTGTTAAACAAAAATAACTGAAATTTAGGAAACAATTATTCATTATAATTTAAATCTGATAAAAACAAGTGATTGGAATCAGTAATGCTTGAAATGTACTGAAAAATCACTTGTAATAAAACGATTGACCCAAACTTGATCATAAAAATACAAGACGCAATAGATGAAACTCCTTTATAGTAACATTCATAATCGACTGTTCTATGGAATGCAAGGTGATAACATGGTATGAAGGTACCTATTGATTTCTGTGTATAGATTTTTTTTCTCTTTAAAATTTATTGGTCATTATGCATATTTGCTCTACAATGTCTATTAAACAACATTGAATTGAGGGTAGGATTTGTATGCTTTCCCGCCAGCATAACAAAATCAATTGTAAATAAAGAAAAAAATGATAAAGGGATTATTGTAAATGCCCCAATTATGTTATTCTGTTGAGATAGTATTGTTTCTTTGAAAATTATTATTTAAATGATTAGTTTCATGAAGTACAATAAGAAGAGGTTTGACAGCCTCCAACGCTTTGTTGCGGTATTGCGTTAAATCAAGGATTCAAATTGAATTTATAAGGTAATAACACATGAAATGCGTTAAAATTTGTTGCTTGCACATTAATTAGAATGGATTTGGGCAATACAGTTTAAAATCAAATTTTTAGATTTTTCAAGTGAGAGTTTATTTCTTAGAATATGTAAAATAAAAACACGATTCCCATGACAGTAAGATATTCTGCATAATATGTCATCGGAAAAAAACCTTAAATTTGTAAAAACCAATTTGATATACTATCATCACTTCATAGATCTATCACTTCATTCTTAACACCTTCAAACACTAAAGTGGTCATTTTGATCGCAAATTAACTTTGAGAGAAGCTAAGTTCTGAAATTATACCAGCCTGACTTTCTTGATCTTCAAAAGCATTAAAATTAATAGAATGTGTAATGAGCGTATTAAATGATTGACTTAAAAAAAAGACCATTGCTGTCAAAATGACCTCCATGGAAGACTGTAAGGTTCTTTTCAACAAAAATGCCTCCTACTCGCTGCTGCTCTCATAATAATTGACGTAATTGTTTCGGATCAGATCAGTTAGAGATACGAGTTAACAATTTGACCAGAAAGGATAAATTTGGGAAAAGTTTAGCAGAGAAATTCACAGTATGGAAACTAAAATAAAACAGCACCTTAATAGTCTTAAAAATTTATTTATTACAGGGACTGAAAATTTGATAAAAGTTCAGGCTGGCTGTGAAACTCAAGACCATTTTTAACATGTTACAAGCTGAAAACTGGTTTACTCGTTATGGATTCATTAGCTGTTGCAATATGGATAAATTGTCGAAAAATTCTACTCGTAAGCAAAGTTAGAATAACCTTATCTCCTGCATATTCTAGTATATGATCAAAAAGTTATTATACGTCAATGTAAACTAAAAAGAAATGCCCCCGCCTCTTCTATAAACTATATACTCTTAAACAGTTTACAATCCTAAAAACTACCCTGAAAAAGAAAATTTCTTCAATTGAGTATAAGTCTTGTTGAGTTACATCAAATAAGCAATTGCAAACGGCATGAACAATTTCTAGAATAGGGTCAGTTTAAGTTTTGCCAATCTTAAAGAAAGTTAGAAAAAATGTTATGATTAAAGTGTGTAACTTTTCATAAGTTTCCTTGAACGCCCTTTGTTTTTAATTTAACTAAATAAGATTATTATATTTTTCTACAAGGAAACTCCCTTCTGTGAATTTTCTAAACAAAAACTAAACGTCATCAATGTTCTCTTTCCGTAGACAAAACAAATTTTCGTTATTTGTGGAAAATGCTAAATTTCGTTAGTAACCTTGATTGCAAATCGTGCCCTACTAGAGTATGTTATTTTTCCTGAAAAGACAATTTTTCACAGATTAAAAAATTCTGCATGAATTTAAAATGACCTTTTCTGCAAATTTTTAGAATATTTGAATTACGAAAATATTTATGTGCGTTGCAGTCAAAAATGATCACAATGATACTTGTACAAGGCCTGTCATCTAATGTTAAATAACTTTTTCCAATATGAAAATAGTGATTTCAACTTAATGACTTTGTCATAGATTTCCATGTTTTATTTTTAAAAAAAATCAATGAAAAAGAAAACAA